TAATGAATTAAAACTTTTGAACTGACAATGGGACAAAAAAAGAGAGCATGAAGGAAATAGGAGTATGAGGGCAAACTGTCCAAATGCAGGTGGCTATGTGTCCAACACCTTAAAAAGCTGATGCTTGACAAACTTCCTAGTGTACCTTACGTCAAGTTTTGAGGCAATAAAAATGAGCTCTGAGCTTGAGGAGCTCCCTGGCTGTTAGTGCATGCAAAGATGGAGGTAGACAGTGGCTGGACTGTCCCACAATTCCTCAGAAACCTGCATTGTCCTTGGGCAGAGGGCATCACATACCTGACTGCGTGGCACTCTTGGGAGTGGCCTGAGGAGCACAGCTTGCAACCAGTCACTGTGCTGGACGCACCCTGGTGCCCGTTTCCTACACTGCTCTGCCTAGCAGTGTCCCCCTGAGGGGCAGGGAGCATAGCCACAAGGCACAGCTCCCCTTCTCTGCCAGTCGTTGGGTTCCCCTTCTCCTCACTGTGTGTCTTCCATGCCCATGGGAGCCTACAGTGTGAATGAAATGAGTGTCAGCAGCTATAGCTGCTGTATCTAGGCTCTTGGGTCCCTGTTGTCTCCATGTCTTTTGCCTAGCACTGGCAATACCGTCCTGCACCCGCATCCTCTTATTTACTCTTCAACCACATGGACCCCGTCCTTCTATAGGAGGCGGGAGCAGCCACAGTAGCAAATTCTGCATGAAAAATAAAGTTGTCTAACGACCATTGATTCTGAGCAAATCCTGCATCGCATAATGTTGCAGAATTCCAGCGGGAGTGATTGGTGGAGAAAAGGGTAAGAATAAGAGGAAGTGGAGGAAGAGAAAAAAGTGAAAAGGCCAATGTGGGCTTGGAATGGGTGTTGCCAGAGGTGAAGGGAAAGGGCGCAAGAGGAAGAGCTGAGAAGTGATGTTAGACCAGTAGAGGGAAGGTGCGCCTCTGTCAGTATGAAGGGAGAGTGAACGTTGTAGAATAAATTGAAGCAGGCCAGGAAAGGGGGGAAATAATATAGTGATATGGAATTAGGATTAGTAGGTGAAGAGGGGTGATAAGAAAAGTAAACATTGAGAAAGAGGGCCAAAGCTGTTGAAGAAGGCAATCAATGTGGCCATTTAGTGGATGGCATCATTTATACATTTCATTTATCATTTATATATTTCAATGAATATAACATATTCAATGAATATAACAAAGGAACGTTTCAGAATTTATAAAGAAAAATATTTTATTTAGACTTGTTCACATTGTAAAAAGTGACTTCAGGAAGTTATCATAAGTGGGTTTCATGAAAGTTCTGCAACCTTTATTGGCACGAGTCATCCATATACAGGAGAATTGTTCTGTGCCTTCAGGACTGGGCCCTTTAACCTTACCATTGAAATAAGTTTTATTATAAACTTTAAAAGAGAGAGAGAGAGAAAGAGAAAATGGAAGCTGTAGCTCTACCCAGATAGTCCTAACCATCGTGTATTCAGATGGTGTATTTGTGTTTATAAATGTCACTGTTTTTCTACTTTAATTGTACTTTTGATGTAGTCTGCTGTCTTGAAATATTATTTGAAAGCATCAAGAAAAACATACAATGAATAGGGTTGCCAGATGGTTTCAACCAAAATACCGGACACACTTGACATTACATCACAATCTACATTACATCTTATTTAGAAAATACTGGACACTTATATCTTCTCATTTATATTTTCTCAATTTGTTTTCCAACCGGAAAGCTTAAATACTGGACTGTCTGGTTCAAAACCGGACACCTGGCAACCCTAACAATGAAAGATGTGAAATAAAAATATGCATAAAAGGACAAGATTCATAATGTTAAAAGCTATAAGCTGGTCCTGAGTACCATATTTTACTAGCAGTTGTATTGTATCATTGTATATGGAATATAATATTTAAGCAACAGGTGTGGCAGAAGTGTTTTTCTCCCTTGTACTTTTATATTCCTTATTTTATATTTGAAATAATAACACATAACTAGGGCAAAAAGTGCTGCATTAAAAAAAGAAAATTAAGAATTATTAAATGATGATCCTAATAATTTGCATTAGTATTTGTTACTTGCTCTCATCACAGTAAATTTCCTATAACTCTTATTTGTCTCTCATATCTGTTTACTCAGTAAGCAACAGTATAATGAAAGTAGTTTACATCTACTCGATTATCTATCCACACAAGCAACCATTCTGTTACTTGTTAAGACCTCAGTGTTATTCAGTCTCATTTTTTTTTACAGTTGCAGTGAGTTTACCGAAATATATCTTTTTTTTTGTCCCTATAAATTATAGTTTAAAAAAACACACAGTTTCACTGAACTGAGATATTCCCTGGTTGGTATTAGACCTTGCAAATTTAGCAGATATCGTATTATAAAATAAATGGCAAAATAGAAACCCTAATTATATTTATAGTTTTCTTGTGCTCCACACTAATTCTTTAATAGAAAAACAGTATTTTCATCTTTCTTTAACTGTAGATATGAACTGTAGTTTTTAAAATTGATCTTTGTATTAGAAGGATAGGGACAGATTGGTCATTATGCCAGTTCAATAACAGAGAAAGAAAATAGATATTAGTATGTGATTTTATACTTCAAGTACTATTGCTTGAATGTTGTTGCTTTTGTGAGGAAAAAATAGATATTGCTTTTTATTATTGATTGAGCTACATATTATATGTGTAACGTAAAACTTAAAAAACCCCCAACGATATAAGATCCAATCTCACAATCACAATAGGGCTATGTCTCTTGCGCAATGCCGCTACACTCATTATTTTCAGGAATGAGGGCATTGCGCAAGAGAGTTTTTCTTGTGCAAGAATGGGCAGTGTAGATGCTCCTTCTGGCACAAGAGCCTCTTCCGCAAAATGGTGGCTCATTAGATATGCAAATGAGGCTCGGCAATATTCCACACTTAGCCTCATTTGCATATTTCTGGCACAACAACCCGCCAGTGTAGACATAACCTAGGAGTTTAATTATGCCTCTTGTGGGACTGAGGCAATATCACAATCAGGATCAGCCCTTGGCGATATAGTACCTTTAAAAGTTGTGATGTTTCCTGGGTGCTGTGGAGAGCATCCTTTGTTATTTCCCTATACTAGACAAAGTCACTGGTTTCCTTTGAGGTTCCATACTGCCTTCCTGTGCCTCACCCAGTTTCTGGGACCAACAGACTGATGGCAGAACAAGCTAGTACACCTTTTGCTTTCCACAAATCTGTGTTGAACCTTGATTTGGGTTCTTTAGCTATCTCCCCTTCTTAGCATTCCTCTGAAGAAAGAGGCATAATTAACCCTTTTAACTCTAACCTTTAAAAATGACAAGTGAAAGCATTATAACAGTGAAATGGAAAGGCTCTTTATCTGTCAAGACCTGAGTTTTTTGTTTTCCTTGCAACATTTGACAAAACCACAAATGTGTAAATGGAGAGAGGAAGTTGGGTTTTGGTTGGATATATACTTAAGTATGGGAACTGCTAGTGTGGATAGGACCCCCAGCATTTAAACACCCTGCTGAGAGCAGACTGACACAACATGGTACTTAAAACCTGTTACATTGTCTATTCTAGATTTCTTTACCACATGGGGAGCTGAACTGATGATAGCAATAGTGGAAAATTTTATGAAAAATCTCCTATTGTAGATGAGATTTTCTTTAGGTACTAGTGATGCTCTCAAAAGTTGCAGGGAAAATGCAGAGCTTTGCAGGGAAGCAGCAAAGAGACATACATTTGAAAAACTGTTTAATCTCTCCCATTTTGTAACCTTTAGGTGCTTGTAATAGCCTGTTGAGGATTTGGGTTCCTATACAGCACCTCTTATTTCTTCTTTTAAAAGGTTTCAGTGATGGTGATTGCTAAGCATTTATTTTGTGGTTGTGTGCAAGGACAGTCAGATCGGGTGATATGAATTGTGTTATGCTGGGTGTTCTCCAAACAGATAGTAAGTGGGAGTCTGTCATAGAATAGCCTCATCTGGAGTGTTCCATTTCTTCAGGGTGCAGCACGACAGGCAAACCTGCCTCTATTTTGCCTTTTAGTATTCTCAGTAAAGCTAATGTAGGCTCTCTATTAAATAATACCCTCCTTGGGTCTAGTGTATTACCAAAACGCAAACAACAAAATCCCCGACATGTTTCATTTCCCACACACAGTATAAGCAGTCATTAAAACTCAAGCCATCTTGCGCGTGAATGCTACCATACACTGGCACTTTTGGCCATGGCCACACGAGGCGTACAGATAGTTCGGAATGGCTTGCTAGTTCGAACTATCTAGCCCGTGCCGCGTGTAGCCGCGCGGCACAGGGTTCGAAGCGCCGGCCGGCTTATGCAAATGAAGCCCGGGAAATTCAAATCCCGGGCTTCATTTGCAAGTGCGGTATGCCTACATTACCACCCTAGTTCGAACTAGGGTGGTAGTGTGGACATACCCTCTTTTAGAAAAGGTGTTCTTCCTCGTAGAATGAGGTTTACCAATGTCAGAAAACCCCTCTGCATTCTTTCAATTTTCTTTCGAAAGAATGCAATAGCAGTATGGATGTAAGTTACATTTTTTCAGAAAAATGGCTGTTTTTCCGAAAAAAACCTGTAGTCTAGACGCACTCTTTCTGGGTTTGGGATGCCAGCCAGAAAGCCCCTTTTGATGCTTTCCTTGCTTTCAGCCTTCACCCCGGAAACACCTTCTACCTCTGGCAGTTCTCATCTGCCCTTTCTGACCGTCACTCAGGCATCTGATTCACTGTCTCCTATTCCCCCTTTTTTCTGTAGAGCATCAAGTGTTTCCCTACCCTCGAACTTGGGCAAGTGGGAACACCGATTCTGGCAGAGAGGAGAGCTATATCTACTTCATGTACTGAGTTCAGCCACCCTGTGTTACAGTCCCTGTTCAAAGACCTTACATTCATATTTAAATTCACATCTACTTTGATTCTGTGTAAACAACATTGTTGATTCACAAGCTGTGTACGTTGCTGCTTCTGTTTCAGGTAATGGACCCCATCATGACCGTTGTTGTGTCTACAACGAAAGCAACTTGGTAGATGGTGTTTACTGCCTGCCAATAGGACACTGGATTGAAGTCTCTGGACACACTGATGAGATGAAGCACACAACTGACTTCTATTTTAATATCGCAGGCCATCAAGCCATTCACTATTCCAGGTAAAAAACAAACAGTGAGAATACTCATGAGCTTATTCAATCCTGGCAGCTAAAGAGGAAATCTCAACTACTCTGGGGCCTGATGATTCAAAAGGGCCTGGGAGCTCTGGGTCCTTTAAATTGCCCTTGGAGCACTAGGTGTTATGCTTCAGGTGGCACTGAAGGACTGGTGGGGGGAGGCAAGCTCGCACCCTGCCCCTTCTGCCCAAGGTCTCACCCCTTCTGGGAATCCAGAGCCAGCTTTACCTCCCCTTCCCTCTTGCCCAAAGGCCCAGCAGTTCTGTTGGCCCCTCTGGTCAGTGGCGATCTCCCATGGAGTGGGAGTACTGATCAGTAATTTAAAGGTAATTTAATCTTTGCAGAGCTGTTGTAGTTATTGCAAAACCAGTATAACAAACCCAGAAAACTCACAGTTCTACTTAAAAGAAGCCCAGATATGTTATTACGAGAGTGCACAATTAAAGCAGCCAAAGAACCTTACCTTTGCAACAGTGATACTGAGCAAATGAAAGGAGATGCAATTGTATTGCAAAGGGTCTCTGTGAGGATTTCATATTTCATGCTTCTTTAGGGTGACCAGATAGCAAGTGTAAAATCTGGATGGGGGTTAATAGCACCTATATAAAAAAAAGTCCTGAATATCAAGACTGTCCCTATAAAATTGGGACATCAGGTCACACTAACCATGTTAGCTATGAAAAGAAAGTGTGAGGGCTGATTGTGCCAAAGCACAAGGTGCCTTTGTGGGTTTACTGCAATGGGCTCAGTAGGTATTTTTACTAAGCCTTAAGCAAGCTTCATCCATAGATGTTTCCTTTGGAACATTGGTCCTGTGATCTGGGGTGCAGCATGTTCCTCATACCTGCCTCCTCAAAGCGTGTAGTTTGAGAGTCACACACAGTGAATACGCAAAGGGACCTGCACTTGGAGAAGACACATTACTTCATATTATTTGGAGTTCTTCAAGATGTGTGATCCTATGTGTATTCCATGACAGCCCTCTCTTCTCTTTGCTTTGGAACCATACTATAATTCATAGTACAGTAAGAACTGAAGAGGCAGGCAGGCAGTCTGTGCCACCTCTTTTGTCCCCTGATTGGAGCATGAGGAGGCACAGAGCACAGAAACGGACCAGCAGACACCACTAGTGAAACATTTTTCAGTCTCAGGCACATGGAGAAC